GTATATGTACACTGAGAGCATGTGCACCAAAGACAAATTCCTTGTGTGTCCAATCACACTTGGCCAATAAAGAATTCTATTCTATTCTATATTGTTGCCATGTGTGCGGGTTCATTTAAAGACTGAAAAAGGTTGGTAATTAGAAGACTGCATTTGTATATGCAAAACAGAAACTCATTAATAGACAAATTATGGCCGTTTGTATAAGCCACCGAGAAAACACTTAACAAATCGTAGAAGCCAGGTTTCCTAAAGCAGTTTTACAGGGTTGTTTAAATGATACCTAAAAAGGAATAAGCGAAGAGATCATCTACATGGATGGAGAAAACAACTCCATGATTACTTGTGAAATGAATGGGAGATCATTATTTATTTATTACTTATTATGTATTCAGTCCACCCAATAACTGAAATGATTATACAATACATGATATGAGTCACTATTACTGATTTATACAGTGTGTTGCTTCTGTAGATCCTTGTGGTTAAATAAACATTGGCATCATACTTTGGAAATGACCACACACATTTTTTCCATGGAAGCTATATCTGTATATGAAAAACAATGTGTGTGAACTTGTTGTTAAGATTACCTGTTTCTAATGAATCAAATCAAGTGTGAAACTTTTTCATAGCATACTTATTGACATACTATTGGCATACTATTCATAATTACGTTTTAATAATACAGTTATTTCTAGGATTCTTCAAGCAATTCACAGTACAGTAAATGTTCAATTTTACAGAACCATGTTGAACAGATGTAAAACAGAATAGACACAATTTTAAATAAAGTCTTCCTGAAGCAGTCTGGATCATTGATATAATTTAATCTCATAATATAATTTTAGTGACCTCTGGAAGTCTCTCTTTCTAATGTTACCTGGCTTATCTAAATTTTATCTTGCGCATCCAGAGAATGGAGTGCTACTTCATAAGTATGTTTAAAGTTAAATAAATAGTTCAAAATACCCATTTTATTCTTTGTGTATTTATCAGCCTGACCATTGCAATTGTAAGGGAGGACTTTCAATTGTATGTGTTGTCCAGTAACTTGCTTTTGTTTTTAATCTTTATTCACTCTACAGGAGTATCAAAAACCACCAACAGAAAGAGGACCATAAAGGAGAATATTTGTAGGTCAGGATTGGGATGAGGGGTCCTTGGTGCTCTCTGAGCTTGGATGTTCTGACTAGAGCTGATGATGTTACCTAGTTTGGGTAACAAACATCTTCAAGAAAACAATCAAGCTCTGAAAGCACCAAGATCCCTAAAGACAACAGAATGTAAGAATAATTTTATTTTATTTTCTTAAATAGAACTCCTCAGTTTTGAGAACTTGGCTAATAGACCATTGATTCAGGGTATGCAGGATAATGCAGCAGCAATTTAAAATTTTCCCTACACATGAACTATTTAGTTCTTTTAAAATAAATCTTCTGAGAAGATGGATTTTCAGCAGTCTGGCCCTATCCACTATGACCAGAGGGAATTCTGGATTCTTTATTTTGGATTTCCATATATGCCAAACCAGTTACTCTGTCTTGACTAAGGGCAGTTTTCAACATGAATTCAGCCATGACAGAATCAGCCACTGCCTGCATTTCCAAGAACTTGTTTAAACTTAACATGTTATTACAGAAAATTCTGAATTCTCCTCTTGAAATTTGAGTGTCTTCAGTGTCTTCATTTCCTTTTCCTTGTGAGTTTGTTTTCTAAACGCTTTTGTCACCCTGGTGTTTACAGAAGGCTTAACCAAATAGATGCAACATAGCAAATTCATGACTGGTTCTTCCAATGTGTTTTTATCCAGCTAAAGGCAGACGTGAAGAATGAAAGGGTCCTTGGGGGAGTATTGTCGGTAGGTGGCCGGAAGGTCATGGTTTCCCTATGCTGTTTTTACAGATTTCTCTCTCTATGAGCTCACATTCCCCTCCCCCATGACCCAGTGCAATGTGGGGTGGGGAATCAAGGTCTCTGCACTAGGCCTGCATTTTAGCAGTTTCACAAGGAGAATTAGATTAAGACCAGAGGAAAAATACTTGGTGAAGCAGTAGGTGTCTTTGCTCTCAAATGGTACTTTCCATTAAAAAGAGGAATGTACTCAGATATCTAATCTTGGATCTTCCTGATAACTCTTATTTCATAATTTAGAGACATTTGGGAGGGCAAAAGGCCAGCTGGCACAAGAAAATAATAATTTAAATGCAAACATTTGTCTTTCTTCGTGTGTTGTGATTGCTTGGATGGATATCTCTAGTACTGGCATCTACTGTAATGATTGTGATAATATTTCTCCCTCTCCTTTTCAGCTGGCTGAATCAGGCACGCAACTCTGCTCTCTGTATTGTGGGCTGTTTATTTAGCAAAATAAAAGGAACTCTTTTAATAGCACTACTTTGAATGCTGTTCCTGGTTTTTTAAAAGCCAAATTATTATTTATACAAAAGCAAGTATGTATACTTCCTCTTTCTTCCTTCAAGATTTTAGCAGCTTCTGAATGCAAGCCTGTGAGCCATAGTAATCCACAATTCTGTCAGGAGAACTGCTTGCCACCATTTAGGAAGTTCATAATACTATATTTTTGATGCATTATATGTGAAGAGTTTTGGAAAACTGGATTGTCCAAGGAGAATTGAAATACTAATACTGTGTGTTTGTGTGCCACGATGGCTGTGTGAATGAATTTCATTTCACTTGCTGATGTGACCATAGCAGATCTATTTTTAGATGTCTAATCCTTCCAGTAGAACATGTCTTCTTTTTCTGATTAGTACAAAGCTGGCTGCTACTCAAATGATAATTACATCCCAGCCCATCACCTATCACAAGCCAACAAACAAGATGTTAAGCTATTTTAACTCTTGCATGCCAACCAGCTAATGTTGTTGCTGGTTTTGTACTGAGCCACAGGCAGCTCAGCAGAGATACAAAACGCTTTGAGATAACCATGGTAAAATCAATCACAGCAATTCTCCAAATCAAAACAATAAAAGGATGCCTTTCAACCTCATTTCATGAACTTTATCAGTAGGTTCAGGAAACACATTTAAATGTTATGGACTTGCTATTTTGGAATTATAAACTTACTCTTTTCCTGTAGTGTTTGAGTCCTTAGTGTCACTCTGACTACATAGTAAAAAACTCAATGCAGATTTCTTTGCCTCTGCCTAAAGAGCCTATCTCTCCAACTTGACATGTTAAAAAACAAAGGAGGAAATCCACCCACTTAGTCAGATGAGTAAATGCTTTAAAGTAGGAAAGCTGATTTCCTTAGAAGTTACTAATAAAATCCAAGCTTCAGATGGGGCTTAAAAAGGAATGCATAGAAATAACATAGATATATGGTATGTATTTGTACTTGAAATTATAGCTGTCCCGAGTGAAAAATGTATCTCACCATAAAAATAGCACAGGCTGCTGCAAATGATTGATTGATTGGATTGCACCCCATGGATATCACAAAGGCCAAATTGGCATTCTTTGCATACTGATGTGTGTGGCTTAGCTAGTCATGACTACTATTCCATGACCACTTTGGCAGAATCTGCTCCTGTACTTCCTTGTATATTTTCAGTGTAAAGGTCAATACTTCACCTACGTGTACCCTAAAAATTGGCCATTGCTCTATCTGTTACCATTGAGAATAATTCAATGTGATTTTTAAAAAATCTTATTCAAATAGAAGTAACTTTCAAACCCCTCTTTGTCCAAGAAAGTACATATTTTTTTAATTAAGGAAGATAAAAATATGCGGGCTTGATTCATTCCTAATAGTTAAGGATTTCTCTGTGGTCTTGTGAATATTATGTAACCTTTCAAAATGGCTTTGTCTTTCTGTGAAAGGATGATCATAGTAATGACAAACTAATGTTAATAACCTTTATGTCAAGTTTGCCATTGATTAAAATGGCACTGGATCTGTAATAAGCAGCTCTGAAACATTCCTCCGGATCATTGGTAGCTAGCAGGTGGCCAGCGCAACTCTTATTCTAACCATTCATGTTCCTGAAACTTCACTGTATGGATGTTGACAAGCTCTTGCTGCTTTCACCAAAAAGCAAAGGCACTGACATGCTACTGGTCCATATTTGTAATGTATATTGCAATGTACATTGTATAAGGATCTACAAAAGGGAATGATGCTACTTTCATTCTTCTGTGTCCCTTGTTCCTCCTTGAAGATATTTCTGCTTCACTACTTTTCTCTTATTCTCAGTAAGGCTGATTTATTGCTTATTACCAGTTTATTTCTAATTAAAGGAATAACGCTTATGTTTTATTTATTTGTTAATAAAAAAAGCTAACTGCAGTTTTGTTTTCTCACATTAGTTGGGTAAACTGCTTCTGAAAGTGTAAAACACTTGTCAAAATCCCCCATTTACTCTTACAGGCGATGAAGGATTGTTGGATCAGACTAATCCAAAACACAGAGGCCAAATATATTTTCATCCTCATTCTGGCTGTGCTTACATGGTGTCATTATGAATAAAGAAACTGGCAAAAATACAGGGGATCATGCATTTAGCAATGACCGAAACCCCTACCATTCTTCTTCTTCCCATTATCATTCCTGCCACGTGGAATATAACATCCAAAGTGGACAAAGTATTTTTGAAGTCTCCTTTGGAATTAAGTTAAAGAAATAGGAAATACAATTGAGGTCTAAAAGGAAGGGCTAGTGATAATAATTTTGACATAATTCTCAAGCTCATCACATATCCTATTAGAATAGGATGGTCAGTGTGAATAGGTTAGGATATAACAAGGTGAAACAGAAAACGCCGCCTCCCCCCACTTGATTAGGAACTAAAAACATAGTTTGAGACAGGAAAATATTCTTATTACAGAGTGCAGAACTATAATGAGCGTATTTTTTACAGAGTTAGAGGCATTCATTATTATAGATGCTTTGGATATTACAGTATTAATCCTTCATTATTAATGGAAGAAAATAGACAAGAAGACCTATTAAGGTCAACATATTTCGGCTGCTGTGATTGCTGGTTGTGATTTATTATATTCTTTTATCTCTCATCACTCCGTTAGTTATCCAAACTTCAATCCAAATGTATGTGATATTTTTGCACTTTTGACTACAGCTCCTTTGTTAATTTATGTCTGGTTTGCTTCAAAAAAGAGATCTATCATGGATGTTTGGAATCTCTGCCTCACGCTATTCCAGCTGTCCTGCAACTCTTTCTTGGGCATGCTTTTTCATTTTTTAAGAACACGCTGTACTGAAATAATAATCCAGAATAAAGTGTTTGCCAATAATCTTTCCATATTTCCTGTACACATGGAGACAAATGTGTGATAGAATCCATATATTTAATTCTATTTAGTTAACACTGCTTTGAAACTAATGCTAGGCAAATAAAATCAGCCTTAGTTGTACATGTAATACAGGGTATTAAGTTTATTAAGCCTCTGTAATTAAAAGCATAAACCGTAGCTGGACTTTTGCAAATGTCACCTCACAGATGATAACAGGATTAAAGATGCAAGACTGTCTGCACTTACCTGGGAACAAACTCACAAAACCTCCATAGGATTGTGCTGTGAATCATTTTAGGAACAGCTAGTGGGCTGCATTTTGCAGATAAGCATTTTAAAAGACACAGATTCACAGTTTAAATTTGTTAATGGCCATTCTGAATCTTTGAGTAGGTTATAAACAAAATGTTTAAGTTTAAAATAAACTCAAAGAATGTCACTACATTAGGGCATTATTTTTTTTTATTCAGAAGCCAGGGCTGAGTTTACCGAAAGTGTTCAACAAACTCATAGCTAAACTAGGCTCATCTTGATGTATAAATTAGTTCATCATGATGAATTAGCAACAGGGAGGAAGGAAATGATGCATGTTTGCTAGAATATCAGTGAAAACTCCAACCAAATAGTTCTGCAAGAGCGTGCATACTCTCCAATTATCTCACTTGCATTTGAGTTATGTACCCTTCCTTGAACGTGTTCAGTGGTTTAGGATATGAGGACTCGCTTACACATTTATTTTCAAAGAACTTATGTTCCATAGACACCTTCCACATTTTTTTTTTCTTCACAGCAACATCAACCTAGTAAGGTAGGGAAAGATTGCTGGTTAATGCATAGCTTGAGTTAAACCAGTGAACTTCATGGCCAAGTCAACAACTGAATTTTAGGTCACCCAATGTGCGACTGCAGAAGATTAATTTATTTTTTTCCAGGAATGGTGTACACTCTATATCATTGTAGCAAACATGCTATTTATTAATCTCTGCATTAATCTTTGGGTTGGAACAAATGGTTTTTACACAATAGATTATACAAATCTGATTAATTCACTATTAGTTTGGATGCAAGTTATATCGTTAGCTGACTGGGAAGCTGTCCATGCAGATACTGTAGATATTGTGAGTTATAATGGATGAGAAATTAACAGGATGATAATGTTTACATGCATAAACCAATTCCAGAATATAGGCAAATCAGATTGGTAAATGCATACTCATAATCACACTTTCCCAAATTTTGTATTCATTTCAGCAGTTTTAAATTGTGCACAAATTTATATTCAACAAAATCTGAGATTCCAAAAATATCAAAAAACGAAACAGAATTATTTCTTGCCATCATATACTTTCTTCATGGGTGAAATTCTCTGTTAATAGTTGGAACAGCAGAATTGTATTTATCAGAGCCAGGTCGTGTATTTGCTAAATTAAAATGACTTTATTAAGAAGTGAACTTGAATACCATATTTAAAAAAAGCCCTACAGCCTGGAATGTATTCAATGAAATTTACTCCAACATGACATAAGTACATAAAAAAGCCTTCAAGTTCAAAGTAAGGATTTTCCATGCCATATTATATTCCATTCCTATGTTACATTTATTGGATTGCACCATTAATCAATTAATCCACTGACACTCATATATTTAAGATTAAATTCTCCTTAATAGACTAATAGTCTTAATATTCATGAGTCATTTGGAAACTTAATAAACTAAATATAAACTTTCAAGAATTTAGAATTTAGTATTGGGGAATTACAGTCAAAAGTAGCACCAAGGGTGGGGCATTTAATGGTCTTGTAGGTGTCCCTGACTTACAAATTCCCAGCATGCTGCATGAGATTGCTGGAAATTATAGTTCAGCAATGACTGCAGAGCATCAAATTCCCCAATGCTGATTTAAATAATTCTCCATCACAGCAAAGCACATATTTTACTTAAATGACAAGTGACCTACCTTCACCCAATGTTGTTCATATTGGGCATCCTTAGACAAATGCAAGACCATTCTTTTACAGATTCCATAATGGAGGCTGTGATACGGCTTTGCATAGAAATTAATTTCTGGTGCTTTTATGCTTCCTTCTTCTCAAATTGATGATAAGCAAATTCCATATACTGTAAGTATCTAAGCAAAGGGAAGTGGAAGGAAAGCATGTAACATTAAATGATGCTGAAAAGATCTTAACAGCTGCCTTGAATTGTGGTGTTTCTGATTAAGCATCATCTCTACAGTGCTGTGAAGAAGAAAATATCACACAATAGATATGTAGAACATCAAAATGAAAGACATCTAGTTCAGGCCATTTGGTGTTCAGCATTTCTGTTAACTTGAAGCATATAGCTAAACACCAAGCTATGCTTAAGTCAGTGCAAACATGGATCCAGATTGTTGGGGGCAATATGCTGACTCTGTAAACTGCTGAGTTTAGAGAGGGCTGTAAAAGCACTGTGAAGCAGTATATAAGTCTAAGTGCTATTACTTGTCTGGAAATATTTCCATATCACCTGTATGTGAAAAACTCTCACATCAAGGGAAAAGCATAACCACAAAATACACACATGAGAACAGGATGATAGCATGGTTGAAAAGTCCTTATTGAACTCCAGACATCATCAGGTCTAAAACAATGGAGAGTCGGTAGATACACCCTTGGGATAAGCAACTTCCCCTGTTTCTATTCAGAAAGCAATAAATTTCTGATGCGCCTTCCAACAAAATGCATTTCTTCATGTGCGTTCCGTGATTGTGTTACAGATTTGTGTCATACTCCCTTCCTGGACAGCTGAATTTGCTGTTAAAAATGGTGTTAATACAGTGCGAAAAAGCATCACATGTAAACAAGCAGAGAACTCACATAACTGTAGCAAAAGCTTTATTTTGGTAAGGATGGTATCTGATTATCAATTAATTTTTCTTTTTCTATACTACAGATACAGAAATATTATCTGTAAATAAGATTTCCTTACCTACAACATTTCCTTACCTATATTATAATCTTTTCAGAACTTTCTGCCATGGAAATGACATTACAACCATCCAAGTCTAAATGAAGGGAGGGATTCTTCCACTCATGCAAAGCAGTCTTTTGGTTTCCTAAATCTGGTTTCATCCCAAAATATTCCTCTCAGTTCTGAAAGCTTGTAGCAATTTAAGATGAAAGACTCAGTTGGGTAGAAAAATTGGTCTCCAAACCACACCTTGTGGAACTATGGGGCCCTGTGCATCAACAGCTCCAAACTCAAGCTTCAACATAACTAAAATGTCCAGCCAGCAATATAAAATGAATATTTTTGATTTCATGGAATTTTACCCCTCACAACAATTCTATCAACACTAATTATTTGGCTTTTAAAAGTTGAACTGTCTACTTCAGCCAATGTGCCTGTATACCTGAAAAGGATAGAAGGTTCCTCAGTGTGCAAAGACTTTCTTTTTGGCCATGTCATCTCTGGCTAATCTGTGGACGTAGGTTTCAATAGATGTATCAAAAGTATGCATATTTGTATTGCTTCTTATCAAAGTACATGAAATAACTGGAAAAGCTTTTGTTATCATTAATCACATTCTATATATCAGCAGAAAACAAGCTTCATTGGCATTTTGCCAGTGCAGTCTCCATAGTTACCAAAATCTATTTCTCTGGACCAACTCTGTGTATTTGCCTGTAAGTGTTGTGTGAATATCATAGCATCCCAAAACTTTGTAGTCCACACAAGTGACTCCAACCTGCCACTGAAGACAAATTTCAGGGCCAAACTTTGATACATGTTAAGCTCTATCCATGGCATTGTGATACTCAGCCACTGCTGAGTGAGGCCCAGATTATTTAGTAGATTTAAAATAGTCCAAGGCAACTGATGAACATCATACCCTGTAAACTGCTTCCCTCCAAACTTTATATAGTTAGTACATGGAGCCGATGTACCATCCTTCAGTCAGAAAAAAAAGAGGAATTTTTGTATATGTTGACAATAATCTTCTCTCTTTCTTTCACGGCCCATTATTATCAATAAAAATCACTTCAGTTCTATCAGTTTCTTTCCCCTCCCCCATATTTTAATTTCAGTGTTGAATGAAACTGAAAGCAGCATATAAACTCATGCCAAGAAACATGATACAAAGCTCATAGCTACACAACTTAATACATAGCATAATGTGTTCCTAATATAATGGAAGACATAAGAATACTTAAGGCTATCTAGAGGAAAATCAAGACCAAAATGGAACCAACAAAAAAAATGGAACCAAGGGCCAACTATTATAAGAAGTAGACAGCACCAATGACATTTCTAATCATCATACTCTCAATTCATAGCATTGTGTCTACCATATTATCAAAAGCACTGTGTGGAAATCTTTTAAATCAGCCTTATCCACACCAATGACTTTCCAGCATGCAGTTATGACGAATTCTAGAATTTTCAGGCAGAATTCTGATTGGCTCTGCTGATTGGGAATTCTTATCCCAATGCTATTAGAGAGTAGCAGCCTGGTGAAGGCTAATGCAGTAGGTAGCAGTCTGCTTTTTAAAATAAATTGCACTATTGATCCAACATTTTTTTTTACCTGGCTTTCAAAGTCGAACACAATCATAGTTAAAAAGCACAAGCAATTCTTTTATCCTGACTGGTGTGCTCTCTAGTTTTAATGAAACATATTCAACATTGTCTAGATCTCAACAGATTACTCCAGATCATGAATTCAAGGCAACAATCAGCTGATGATAGCCCAGTTTCTATTTCTTTTCTCTGGAAATAATTTCTCTTCATAGTTAATAGCCATGAGACCCTTTAGCTGGCAATGCTTTCTAATAGCATACAATTTCATTTGAGATTCTGCTGCTTTACTGTTAATGAAAGTGGAGAAATCCTGTCAGGAACAGTATCAATGAATAAGTATCTGAAATTGCGAGATAATCAAACTAGTCTATTCAAAATGTTCATTAAACACAGTGATCACATTGCTAGTAAAGCTGGCATTCACTCACTAGTGAACTTGAAATTATGATGCTAATGGACACATTTTTGAGGGGACAGTTTCTTAGTATCATGAGATTTAAGGTTAAATAACACTTAGTATCATGAGATTTAAGGTTAAATTATCACCAGCTTCTATTTAAAAATAGACAAACAAGCGGCAATAAATTAAGAAACTTCACAATAATTAGAGTTTGTCTTTCTCAACTGATTTCTATTTTACCAGTGATTTCTGTTCTATTGTACTGCAACTTTTCAAAAGAGGCACAGCAGTAAAGCAGTTAGAAAAGTCCTTATTCTGGACTGATTTAAAATCTTATTATGGATTATCATGTAGCTCAAGTATATCACTAGACATCTTATGATTTATTGTACGCAAACAATGTATGGCTTGTGCATATCAAAGCACAGTTAATCTCTCCTTCTTAATAGTTCTCAAATGAAATCCACACTGTTTATGTACCATCTCCAGCCATTTCATTCAGTTTTTCTTATTATCAGACTACATTAAACTGATAAAAGGAACCGATCAGAAAAAAAGTAGTTAATGTAATTATAGGCAAGCTGGAAATGATTTGTTTTTAGCCCTGGAATTTCAGGAGAAGTCAACAGTCTTCAGTGTAACAGGAATGCTGCCTTATTTGGTACAGCAAGCTTATTTTTTAAAAAGACAATTATGTCAGGAAAAGCCATTAAGTTCATCTGTATTGGTAACATGATCTATATTTCCAGAAAAACAGTCACTGTTTTTAATCAAAAATGGATATAATTCCTGTACTTTTAAAGACACATTGTAAATACACTTGCTTGTGCTGCAGTGTTTTTTATTGCACATAGACCAATGACATACAGTAGTAAACGGCACCCAAAGAATATAAATACAATATAAAATGCATGTGCATACAGTCCGTCGGCATACACAGACACACAGACACATAAATGCACAGAAGTAAAAATGGAGAAAGACAATGAAGCACTAAATTCACAAAAGGTTCACATGATTTTCTGGGACTTAGAGAAGTTACTAATAGAAACTCTTGGGTATGAACATACTTACAGTACCTCCATTAAATCACATAATATTGTTTTAAAAAATAACCATCAGCCAGTAATAGAAATCAAGTTGGAATCTACTTTGTTTTCCAGTGGGTTTGTCTATAAGAATGTGTGTGTTTGTGTGTGTGTGTGTGTGACAGAGAAAGAGAGAGAGAAAGACTTACAGAGAGAACTTTGTTAATACTGTGCAAAAAGGGAAAAAAATCTCTCATTCTTTTCAAATGTGCAGTCATATTTCTGGTGCTTGTAGCCAAATTTTCTCTTCTATTTTTCAATGTGAACAATTTGTCTATTGAGATACTCCTGACTCTATTTTTATTTTTTAAAAAACTCTTAACTAGCAATACATAAATAAGCTGTTTAATATAAACACATTTTCCCTGTACAATATGCACAGCTTGAGGTAGATGTTTTATAGCCTTACTGCTGATGTCTCATATGATAAGAAAAGCGATATTCCTCACCCCTGACATCACTGGGCAAAAGGACCAAACCCAAAAGAAATTGGATCAAAACAAAATACTCTGCATTTGCAGTATTTCTGATGGATCTTCTTGGATATTAAGGAGCATGTAGGTTTTCAAGGCTACAAAGTAATGAGCACTTAGCTGTATACAGGAACAAGTTTCTTCAAACTTGCTTCCAACTAAACATGCATTGGATGATCAGACTGCGTAACAAAACTCATTAGAAAATGTTTCAATGGCTTATTCCAAAGTGACTTTAAGTATGGTTTCTAAAGTTGTTTCCTGCCTGAAATTCACACCGATCTCAGGAAAGATAAACAGGTGGCCAGCACTTCTTCTTTTCCTTTCAAGGATTGAATAAATTAAAAGCAAAAAAAAAAAAAAAGGCTACTTCTGCTACTGTCAGACCCGATAGTAGTAAAAACAACTAAGGGCGTTATCTCTAGCTCTAAAATTAAACTGTCAGCCAAGGGCTTCTTCCTATTTCCTTCAGTATCAGGACAGCCTGCTTTGCTTTTCTATTAATGTTTGGCTGAACCCTTGCTACAAATTCAGCTTTTCCTGAAACATTTCTTTTACAAATTTCTTGCAACTTGCTTTTGTTCCTTTCC